TACAAGTATTCAAAATTTTCTTGATAGAATTTCTCAGTCTGAACAAGATGATATTGAATTATCTGTTGCTCAAACAATTTTTGAATGTGGTTTGTCTTTATCTTTATTAGAATTAAAGCCAATAAAGAAATTGTTTAAAAAAATTAGACCAGCTTTAAAATTACCAAGCAGAAAAAAACTTTCAACAACTTTATTAAACAAAACATATGAAAATACTAAAGATGAAATTGATAAAATAATTAATAAAGCTGAATTTATTAGTATAATTAGTGATGAGTAGTAAATATTTTTATTTTATTAGTAAAATTATATAAATTTAATTAATTTTATTTTATATTTAAAAATTAATTATTTTTAGATCAAATTTAGTTGCAGTATATTGGACAAATTATATTATTTTTACACTAGTTCCTGTGTTTGTATTTGCTAAACCAACAGGTGAAATTCAACAAAATGGTATTAATATTGCAGCAGATTTAGAAAAAATTATTTTAACTTATAATTTAGAAAAAGTCTCAGCAATTATAATAGATAATGCATCTGTTATGAAAAAAGCATGGAAAATTTTAGATAAAAAGTATTCAAAAATTGTTTTTATGAGTTTTTTAGCTCACAATATTAATTTACTTGTTCATGATATTATTAAATTAGATTGGGTACAAGAAATATTATCAAATGCAATATTAATAGTAAAATATTTTAAGAATCATATAATTTCTGTAGCAATTTTAAAAAAATATCAAGAAAATAAATATGTATCAAATTATAAAACTCTTAAATTATCTGTTGAAACAAGATAGAGTTTAGCTGCAAATTGTTTAGATTCAATTAAATTTAATCAATTAGCAATTAGTTTGTCTATTACTGAATTAATTAATTATCCAACTGTTTCTGTTGATTTAGATATTAAAAATATTATTCAAGATAATGAATTTTGGAATGAAGTTCAAAACTTATTAGTTATTTTAAAGGTTTTAGCAAGTGGAATTACAATTTTTGAAGGAAATACTTCATATTTATCACAGTTTTATAAATGGTATAAAAATCTTGAAAATAATAAATGTAAATATTAAAATTTTTATTTTTTTTTAATATTAAAGGTGAGACCATGCTCTTATCTTTATTAGATTTAACAAAAAAAAAATCTATTTGTAACAGCCTGTTACGCGCTTATTTGTAACAGCCTATTAATGTTAGGGTTGGCATTAGAGTTAGTGTTAGGGTTAGTATTAGGGTTAGTGTTAAATTAGATTTAAAGTTAGTATTAAGATTAATACAAAATTGCGAGAGGATCATTTTTTTTTTTTTTTTTTTTTTTTTTGATGTTAATGGTGAGACCTTGCTCTTTTTTTTTTTTAACTTTATTAAAATTTTTTACAAAATCGGAAAAAATCTGTT